TGTTCAGTTGACCTCCACACATTTTCATGTGTGTCTTGTATAATGAGCAACATGCTCTCCCTTTTGCCACCACCATTGATCCTTTGGTGAGTTTCCAGTTGCCATTCCTGAAGTAGTGTGCGTATCCTTCTTCATCCAGTGCTTTTGCAGACAATAGATTCATACGCATATCGGGAACATGTCGCACATTTTTCAGTGTTAATGTGCATCCAACATTTGTCTGGACACAGATATCACTAACTCCCATAATATGAGAAACACTCTTGTTTCCCATTTTTATGGTGCCAAAGTCTCCTGCTTTGTATGTTGAAAAATATTCCCTTTTGGGAACACAATGATAAGAGGCACCAGAATCAATTATCCACTCAGCATCTGAGTTTTCTACATGGCAACATTCCCCACGATCACATAGTAGAGTCACGTCACCACCACTGGTAGATGCTACAACGGTTGTATTGCCATCTTCAACCTTTTTCTTGTCTTTTCCTTTCAACAAGTAGCAATTCCTTTTCATGTGGCCTAGCTGGCCACAATGATAGCATTTCACTCCACTTTTGGACTTTGATCTGGATCTACCTCCTCGTCCTTTGGGTTCTCTGGTTTTACTCCTGCCTCTATTCTCCATGACAAGAGCTTGAGTATCTGGTTCCGAGAAGACTCCTAGTGCCCGCATCCTCTTTTCCTCTTCAAAGATCCTGTTTTTGGCAATTTCGAGTGTGACTTGACCACCAGGAGATGAGTTGATTGTCGTTGATCTAAAACTCTCCCATAATTCCGGCAAGGTATTGAGAAGAATCAGACCATTCACCTCATCATCAAATTCTATGCCGAGATTGGCTAACTCCTTGATGATGCCAAGGAAATTATTAACATGGTCTGCTGTGGGAGTGCCATCTTTGTACCTTGAGTACATTAATTGCTTTATATGGCACAATTTATTCTGCCCAGTCTTCGCTCAGAAAAGCTAATCTAGCTTTGTCCATAGTGTGCGTGCATCAGTTTCATCATTGATATAATTCAACACACTATCATCAATCCATTGCCGGATAAATCCACACACTCGCCTATGGAGTAGCCTCCATTCTTCATCCTTCATGCTGTCTGGCTTTTGTTCTGAAAAGACAGGCTCATGAAATTCCTTCACATAAA